CTGGCCCCAAAGTCCACCTTCGGCATTCCCTGGGGACCTCGCTGCTCTGTTCCCTTGCTGTTCTGTTGCACCCCCTTAGTGTTTTGCCTTGATGTGGCAGGATCAGTTTGGGCGCAATTCGGTCCTTTCTGTGGACTGGCTGCTCTAATCGGGAACATCGTCCGCACGGCCTGGTGTGTCGTGATGTGCTCCACTCTCTCCTCCTCCCCTTTCATCTGCTCCCATGTGCTCTGATCAGATATGTCCCTTTCCCAGAGCTGCAGATTAAATGGCCTCCTTTGAAATAAATTCTTCTGGGGGGAGAGGCAGGTGTCCACGTAGTAGTTGGGATTGGGGCCGGCTCCTCGGGGATGTTTTCTTAATATTCAATTACTCCTTGATATAAAGCTCTTTCTGACACATATTTGAGGGTCTATGGATTAGTTTCTCTAGTCAACTCGGCCTAGGATTCTGTCCTAAGGCTGGAGTCGCTAGAGCAGCAAATCTAGTGTCCCCAGGAAATGGCTCACACAGTCATAGAGGCTCGCTAGTTCCAGGCTCTGCGTCAGTTACCAGGCTTGGGGCTTCTTCAGACTCACACGGCTGCACAGGCTGGTAAACCCAAAAGCAGCAGATCATCTGGCAGGTTGCTGCTGACTCCCAGGATTGACAGGTAGTACAAGAGGCTCAAGTCCGAAGAACTGAGGTCAGGTGAGGCACCAGATGCAGAAGCAAGACCAACCAAAAACAAGCAAGTTTTTTCAGAACATCCACATATATTGGAAGCAGGCCACCGCCTTGAGCTCACGCCCTTTCGGTGGACTGCTCATAGCAGATTCTTTCATGTTTTAGTGTGTTAAGGTAAGACTTTCATTGTCAAAAACAAATTATTGCACAATTCTTCTTAAGAGGATTCAACGATTAAATTGTATGATATATGAGTTATAGGCCAATAAAACTATTTTTAGATAATGTCTTGAAGTTGTACCCCTATGTTTTTTTTCTTAGTGTCTTGGTTTTATTTCTTATATTTTAACCATTAGTTCATTTTGAGTCAATATTCATAACATTATGAGTATACATCCTACTTCATTATTTTACATGTAGAAATCTAGGTGTCCGGACATCATATCTTGAAGGGCCATTCTTCCCCCATTAAACTGTCTATGGGGTGTGGAAAACCAACTGGCGATGTGTCTTTTGAGTCCCTAGTTGTACGTGGTCACTCTCCTGTAGGCTCCTCCTTGTTTGCCTCCTATCAGTGTCTGAGAGTGACTTATATTCAAGATCAATTTGTCTAAAGAATTGGTGATAGGATTTTTAAGGTGTGATATGATTATGATTTAAAATTTTTTTTCACTGTGATCTGAGTGAATGTTTACGAAGCAAACTGGTTTTCCATTCAACACTTCATATTCATTTTGTTTTGTGACATTCACTGTAATCGAACTCTGTGCACTTGCTCCCTGGTTGGAAATAAGCATCCGAGCTTCCCTTTATCATGGAAGAGCAGGGGAGGGATTAGGCAAGGAGAAAACAAGATTGTGCATAATTGTTGCATTCTTATTACACACAGATTCGTTATACTATTTTCTGTTATGTCTGTTTGTTTTTCACTTTTCATAAAATTGTTAACAAAGCTAAGAAATACATGTAAGCTGAAGCTTCCTTAAGCCTATCCTTGCAGATACAAACCCTGTAAACTTAACAGTTATCCCTTCCCTCACATTTCTTTATCCTCAAGATGGATCCAACTCCTGAACTGTTTCTGGTCCTTTAAGTCAGCAGGCTGAGCCTCCTGGAAGGACTGGCTGCGCTGATGCTGCCCTGCTGGTGTGATGTGCGGGTGAACCTGGCCAGCCTGCTGGAGCAAATGGAAGGGATGCCACAGCTTATCAAACTTGGGCTGAAAAACTGGAGACTCACAGATTCAGAGCTTAGCGTTTTAGGTAGGTACAAAGTTCTTAAGATAACGGGATTTTTATTTTATTTCTAACTCCTGTTCATACCTCTGAGGAACCCTTGATGGCACAGCGGTGAAAGTCCTTGGCTGCTAATTAAAAGGTTGGAGGTTCAAACCAACCCGCTACTGACTGCTCAGGAGAGAGGTGTGGCTGTCAGCTTCCATGAAGATTCATAACCCGGGAACCCCTCAGGGACAGTTTTAGTCTGCCTTCTCGGGTAACTGTGAGTTGGAATTGAGTCAAAGTCGTGCATGTTTCATGATGCTTCGAGGCGCCCTGGTGATGCAATGGTTAAGCACCTGGCAGTTGGAACTCACCTAGAAGCTGACAGGAAAGCGACCTGGTGACACACTTCGGGCAGGATGATGGCCTAGGAAACCCTGTGAACCAGCTGTCAGCTGTCACACTGAGTCACTGTGAGGGAGAGTTGGCTTGGGGACACCTGTCGATAACAACACTAGTGCTTCACGTTCTATATCCTTCCTACCCTTCCCTTAGCCCACTCCGATCTGTCTACTCTGCCCGCAGCCACAAGATAGTACCATGCTGAGGATCATTCTTTCAGGCCTCTTCTCTAGGTTGGGTGCTAGAGACCAATGGCTTCCACGACAGACTAATTACCTGGCTAATCCTCTCTCTCAGGTATCCTCATCCTTTAACAAAACACACTGCCAGTGAGTCAGTTCTGACTCATGGCAACCCTGTCGGGCCGGGTTGAACTTCCCCTGTGGGTTTCTGAGACTTTAACTCTTCATGGGAGTATAAAGCCTCATCTTTAACGAAAGGAGAGGCTAGTGGTTTCAAACTGCTGACCTCACAGGAAGAAGCCTAACACGTAACCACTACACCATTGAAATGACATATACATTTTAAGGAGGTCTTAAGGGAGTATATAGGAGCCCTGGTAGTAAATGGTTATGATTTGGGCTGCTCATTGTAGGGTCAGCAATTCGAAACCACCAGCCTCTCTGAGGGCAAAAGATGAGGCTTTCTGCCACCATGAAGAGTCAGTTCCCAACAGAAAAGTGAGTGGAGGGAGACGTCGGACAGTGTAAGACATGACAAAATAATAATAATTCATAAATTATCAAGGGTTCATGGGGGTGGGGGGTGAGCTGATACCCAGGGCTCAAATGAGTTGATACCAAGGGCTCAACAAATGCTTTGAGAATGATAAAGGCAACAAATGTACAAATGTGCTTGACACAATGGATGGATGGATGGATTGTGATAAGAGTTGTACGAGCCCCCAATAAAATTATTTTTTTTAAAAAAGAAGGAAAAACAATCAAGAGCTAGTCTCCAAAACTCACAGGGGCAATTCTACCTGGTCCTATAGGTTCAATATAGGAGTCGGCACTGACTCGATGGCAGTGAGTTTGGATTTGGAAGGGAGCATAGAGAATTAGAATTTCACATGCAATAAGCATTTTTTTTAAAAACAGAAGTTTTTCAGCTTCTTTCAAATCTTTATGAAAGTAGTTGCTTACTTCTGCCTACTTTGGAGACTGGCCATTGAGACCAGAGAAGATCATGTGTTTCATAAAGAGTTTCCGACAAATTCACTCTGGCCTGACCCCTGCTGAAAATGTGCATGTTCACCCCACATATGCGGAATCATAATCCACATTTTAACAAAATCCACAGATGTTTTTATGAACATCCCCAAGAATCACCTGGGGATCTATAATGTTTAATGAAATAAGAATGAGCGGGGTAGTAATTCATACTTTAATTCCCTTATGCCTCTGGCCTCCATTTGTAAATAAAGAAACTACACATACCAGAAGGCAGCTACATTCTGGAACTAGAGCTGTAGGTATATGTGCTAAAATGCAGATAAGAAATGAGTTCAGAAGATGAACACCTCAGTAGCAGTAACTAATTCATTCTTAGAGTCTTTTTAAGTATTAATGAAATTGTTATTACAGCTCTAAAAATGATAACCATTGTCCTCCTCATTGTATAACGACACAGAGGCACAGGATGCTTGTCAGCCTAAAGCAGAGACAAGGACTAGAGACAGGAAAGGAGGAGGCAATAAAAGGGGAAAGTGTAGGTGTGGCCACTCTCTCCGTCCAGCTCCTTCCTCTTCCACTACACGCTAAAAACAGTCTGTTTGGGCTTGACGTAAAAGCTGCAGGATGAAAACTCCAATGTCCTCTGTCTTTATTCTCGAACCGGATGAAGAGCCCACTGTCCGTGAAGCTTCTCCAGAAGTTCTACCTCTGTGCAAAGGCGGATGTACTGACTTTGGAGACAGATAGACCTACCCTTTCCAACGGATGGTTATTGAGCCTGTAGCAACTTAGTTAAACTTTCTGAGCCTCCATTCATTCGTCTTTCAAATGAGGATAATTTCAATTACTACTACACTAGCAATTATTGTCCTAATCCATAATTGTGCCAATATCTGTAAAGTAAGAAGCTTGACATTGAGTCATTGCGCATGCTCAAGAAATGGTACTATGATTATCTTCTGTAGGCTTCAACAAGAATCAGATAGGGCAGCGGTTCTCAATCTGTGGGTCACGACCCCTTTGGGGGTCGAACGACCCTTTCACTGGGATCGCCAGATTCATAACAGTAGCAAAATGACAGTGATGAAGTAGCAACAAAAATAATTTTATGGTTGGAGTGGGAGGTCACCACAACATGAGGAACTGTATTAAAGGGTCGTGGCATGAGGAAGGTTGAGAATCACTGAGATAGTTATCTTCCTTAAAAAAAAAAAAAGTATTTCTTTGCCTACTGAATAAAAGAGAAACTCTTCAGTTTGGGTGTGTATGACCCTTCAGAACTGAGCCTCCATTCGCCCCTCTACACGTCCATCTTCAGCCACACCTCCACTCTTTTTTTTTTTTTTAATTTAATTTTATTTTTTTCACACCTCCACTCTTAAGTGGAGGGTCCCTCCGCATGATCTCATGGCTTTCTACGTGCATTCTCTCCATCAGGTGCTTTTGATGTGTCAATTCTCACTATTGAAGATGGAATCTTTGAGGTCAAATGCACAGCTGGAGGTACCCATTATAAGGAGACAACTTGGAAAACAATGGCTGTGTTAGACCAGGTTGACTAGAGAAACAAATCTAGGGACACTCATCTGTATAAGAGAGAGCTTGCTATCAAGAAGTAATTATATATCAAGCAAATTATATATCCCAGCCCAGTTCCAGATCAAGTCCATAAGTCCAATATTAGCCCCTAAGTCTGATACTAGTCCATAAATCCCTCTTCAGGCTCACACAGCCACATGCAATGATGTAGATTCAGCATGCAGGGAGATCAAAGTCTTGTGGATCCAGTGGTGGCTGCATCACAGGGCTCAAAGGGCTCAGCATGGCTCTGGCAGCTCTCCCAGTGACTCAACAGCAGTAAGGTGAAGGGAGAGAGAGAGAGAGGAAGTTCCCAGATTCCTGCTTGTGTGAAAGCCACACCCACCAGGAGGTCCCATCAGGCAGTGACCTGATTGACAGGCTAGATTCCACCCATATCTTCTTATGGGTGCCATCTTGGCACCAAAAAAACCTAATTTTCACAATGGCCAACAATTTCGTGGCTGAGTTCCAGTATAAGAAGACATCAGTGAGCATAAGAGAGCTGTCCACTGTCTACCTGCTGCTTGTGGACATGCCAAGCTCACACTCTTCCGGCATTCCGGCCAGTTTCAAGATTGGCTCTGTATGAAGGAATCGACCTTTCCACCTCTATTATTGGGAGTTATTTGAAGAATGGAAGAATTGAATGCTGGCCTGGGCACCCTGGATGCTGTGGAGAAAGCCCTGGGGCAAGTTAGACAAGTCACAGATCCATGACATAGTCCTGGTGGGTGGCACTACACATAGTCCCAAGATCCAGAAACTTCTTTAGGATTTCGTCAATAGAAAAGAATGAAATATGTGCAGCAATCCCGATGAAGCTGTTGCTTATGTTCAGTTGTCCAGGCAGCCATCTTCTCTAGAAACAAGTCTAAAGTGTTCAGTGTGTACTGCTCTTGGCTGTCACGCCTCTTTCCCGTGGGTGTCAGTCATGCTGGCTGGAGTCATGACTGTCCTTCTCAAGCATAGCACTAACTCCTCCTACCATGCAGACACAGGCTTTCAAAACCTACTCGGACAGCCAGTTTTAAGGGCTCCTTCAGCTTACACCATAACCAACGATAACAACCTACTTGGCAAGTTTGGGCCCACTAGCATACCACCTGCACCAGGTAGTGTTCCTCAGATTGAAGTCACTTTTCAGAGCGATGCAAGTGGCATTCTCAGTGTCTCTGCTATGGGTGAGGACACTTGCAAATAGAATAAGATTACCATCACTGATGACAAGGGTCACGTGAGTCAGGACATTGAATGTGGAGTGCAGGAAATTGACCCGGACAAAGCAGAAGATGAGAGACAGTGGGACCAGCTGTCCTCTGGGGATTCACTTGGATTTTCACTCACATGAGAGGGATGATTGAAGATGAAACGGTTCCAGACGAAATCAATAATGAGAACAAACAGAAGATTCTTGACAAGTGAAATGAAATCATTACAGCCCCCACCACACACAATTACTTGCTGTCTTGATGCTTCAGTCTGTTCCCCGGGTTACTTGGGGCACTAATTCAGAAAACTGAATTGAATAGGCCTTATCAGCTCTAGTTTCTTAGATGTGATGTTCCATTACATTTTCAGCTATTAAATTATACTAATGTATTCATTTATCATCCTAGTTTTAAATAGGAAAATCCAAATCCACAAATTATAGGATAAATCAGAAAATCATACCCAGTGCCAACAGGAAGCAAACAAAAAGCACAACATGATCAAACAAAACAGAGAAAAACATCACTCAAAAAGAAAGCAGAAAATATTAAAAATTAACTCAAAAATGGGTCAAAAGGGAGATCAAATGATAAGGTGTTATATTGATTTAATGTTTATATAATTTCTGCCATAATTGATCTTAAACTGCTCTCTATCTGGTAGCAAGGTAGCATA